GTCTTTCTGTGGGGCTTGAGGGCTTTACAGAGTTCACGCCACCCTTCCAGAAGTTAGTTCTCATAGCTCAGAATTTTGGCTGATTTCTGGAGGAAACTATTACTGTGAGCAGTTTCTTGTCACTTAACTTTTTCTCTACTCAAAGCCTGATGGAGATTTCAGATTATTTGATGGTTTTGATCAGTTGTATCCCAGGTAGTCAGTCCTTCTTTGATGAGAGCCACGAAGATCAATTAGATAAGCAGGACCTTGAGAAAAAGGGTAGTCTGCAGGGCCTTACATTTTAAAGTCATTGTGTCCAGTCAACCACGAACGTTTGTGGTCAGTATTAGGCTCTTCTGATTGCTCTTAACGTGGTTCGTTGCTGCTGTAGTCTCTTTCTTACCTTGCTGCTGTTTATCTATTCGAGCATATTTTTCATTTCCTGAAGCAGTTTTGTACAAGGAAAGCACAAAATAGTAAAATTCCTTCTGTCTTCAAATAAAAATTTTTTACATTTGCAACTTACCGAAGTAACTATAAAAACACTTATGCATGCTTTTAAGGTGAGTAGGACTCCAGATTTTCTGTGGCCCCGTTAGAATACTTTGAAAGACCTAGGCCTGCCCACGGTCCTCCCCCCAGAGAGTCCCTGGGAGGTGGGAGAGCGCCAGCAGCGCCGCAGCTCCCTGCGAGGCCTCCAGCTTTTTTTGCATCTTGCAGAAAACCTAGCTCCTGTCTGTTTAAAATGTAATCTGAATATGTCGAATCATGATATATTCACGTAAAAAGAATTGTGGGAAAAATCGTGACAGCTTTTTTGTTTGTCGCAGTAAATAAACTCCCAAATAGGTCACTTTATCCTGTCTTATTGCAGGTGTTGTTTGATGATATTGGACAATCCCTGATCCGACTTTCCAGCCCAGAGCTTCAGTTCGCGCTGATCGCGGCCTTTCTGCAGTTCCTGGGCGTGCCTTCCGGCTTCAGCCCTCCAGCCTCCTGCTTCTATCTGGCCATGGATGAGAACAGCATCTTTGATAACGGACTTTATGATGAGAAGCCACTGACTTCTCTCAGCCTTTCATTTTCCGGCGTTAGCTATGTCGGCCGCATGGACCAATTGGGCTGCCGGCGCTGGAGCAGGGGTCACGACCGAGAGGGCGAGGATTTCATCCGCAACATCTTCCACCTCGTGATGCCGCTGTTTTCGGTTAAGGAGCGGTCTCAGCTCTGCTTCTCCTGGTTACAGTACGAGATTGCAAAGGTATCTTCACCCTCTTCCTGGGCAGGGACTCCATTTTGTGTCCGTGTGCATAATGGAATCACAGGTTCTTGGTGTTCCTCAGGGTACTGGGCCACAGCACCTCCTTTGGGGACCCTAAAGGCGTCTGGTGTGTGGCTGCCCCTCCAAGGGGCCACAGTGGAGAGGAGGAACGCAGGAGGAAGGCCAGCACCTTAGGGACCGAAGCTGTTTATTGTGTCGATTCTTGTATTACCAGATGTCTGTGATTATATGAGCAGTTAGTGTTAAGAACCAGGCTTAAGCTTAAGCAGGGTTAGAGGATTTAGGGGGGCTTATTAAAATAGATAATAAGCTACTCACCCTGCCCTTTGTAGCTATCTGCTAGAAATTCATCTAGGATTGAGTCGTCTTCCCTCTGCTGGCCACCATTAGTATTGAGTCTTCACACCCAAAGGTCTGATGCTTTAACTGCAGATTGCATACACCAGGCTGTATTATTAAAATAGTATCGTCTGATAAAATTTGGAGGCCACCTCTCTCTGGAGAGGAACACTTGGAGTATATAAGCCTTGTTCATAGAGGTTTCAGATGGAAACCTGGATGTGTTCATTTTGGGGCACCTGTCGCCTTAGTAAAACCCTGATTTGTTTTCTGGCTCAGAGATCCTAAGTGTTTACCAAACAGGTGATGAAGGAAGGAAGTGTAGACACCTTGTGTGGCTTTTTCAAGTTGACAGCACAAAGGGATTGCTTTAACATCACAGAGTACTTGGAGTCATTCTTTTCTTTTTACCTCTAGGTCATTTGGTGTCTGCACACTAAAAACAAGAAGAGATTAAAGTCACAAGGAAAGAACTGCAAAAAATTAGCCAAGAATCTCCTTAAGGAGCCAGAAAACCGCAACAATTTTTGCCTCTGGAAGCAGTATGCCCATCTGGAATGGTTGCTTGGCAACACAGAAGACGCCAGGAAGGTTTTCGATACAGCACTTAGCATGGCGGGGAGCAAGGAGCTGAAGGACTACGAACTCTGTGAGCTCAGTCTGCTCTACGCGGAATTGGAGGTGGAGCTGTTGCCGGACGTGAGAGGGGCCGCCACAGCCCGAGCCGTTCACATATTAACCAGACTGACTGAGAACGGTGTGTATGGGTCCTACACTGGGCAGGTCTTGGCCGTTCACATTTTGAAAGCTCGGAAAGCTTACGAACATGCCCTGCAGGACTGTTTGGGTGACAGCTGTGTCTCCGATCCAGCTGCCCCTGATTCCCTTAACCGCCTAATCAGCTTGGTTAAATGCTTTATGCTCTTCCAGTATTTGACCGTTGGGATCGATGCCACTCTGCGGATATATGAACAGGTATCTGCAAAACTGAAGGGCTCTGTCTCCCCAGAAGGCCCTGGCCCGGAGGACAGTGTCAGCCCCCGGAGTCTGAGCGGCGTTCTCGAGGCCGTCACCCTGATGCACACAAGCCTGCTCAGGTTCCACATGAAAGTCAGCGTTTACCCTCTGGCTCCTCTGCGGTTGGTGCTCTCAGAGGCCCTGAAGCTGTATCCGGGCAACCAGGTGCTATGGAGGTCGTATGTCCAGATTCAGAGCAAATCCCACAGTGCCAGTAAGACCAGAAGATTCTTCGATGCCATCACCAGGTCTGCGAAGTCCTTGGAGCCTTGGTTGTTTGCAATTGAAGCTGAGAAAATGAGGAAGAGACTGGTGGAAACTGTTCAGAGGTAATTACAGATCATTTTATTCGTGTGTTCACATTCTTTATGTGCAGCTTCCCCCACCCTGCCAGGCCGCAGGGAGACGGAAATGAGTACAGGCCAGTGCCTGGCACACTTGCTGCGGGTGTTTTAGGTATTAGGGAATAACACTGAAAGAGGAGTGAGAGACTCACAAGTAGCATCTTGCTTTAGAGGCTTTGTGGCCGTCTTGCTAAGTCATACGTTTTGGGATCCTGAATGTTGCTTAAGGTGCGTGGCTGGTGACTGTCAGGCCTTCAGGTATCTGGGAAGCTGTAGAAAAGCACCATGGGTAAGAGCACAGGCTCTGGAGCTGGACTCTGGGTTCAGATCCCAGCTCTTCCACATACCAGCTGTGTGACCTTAAATAAGCCACTTCACCTCTCCAGTGGGTTCCTGAGAAACGAGGAGTTGGCGTGTGATTCTTGGCAGACTCAGCGTGGTATAGAAGCCACAGAACCCTGGACACTACCTTCCTCTGGCCTTGGAGAAGCCATATCACATCGCACTCCACGCCCCCGGCGCCCACAGACCTGAGGGGCAGCCCTGTCTCTGACACGCTGTGACCCAGATATTGCTGACGTTCGTTATCACTGACGTTATCTCTTCCTCCTGCGACCCGGGGTGCGAGAACTTGTCTCGGAGTTACACGGCCTTTGTCTTGCAGGGTAGATGGCAGAGAGGTCCATGCCACGATTCCTGAGACTGGCTTGACACATCGGATCAAAGCCCTGTTCGAAAATGCAATGCGGAGTGACAGTGGCAGCCAGTGCCCTTTACTATGGAGGATGTATTTGAATTTTTTGGTAAGAAAATATTTAGTTTTTGTTTGCATGCAGAATTGTTTCTTCCTTTCTGAGTGAGAAAGTGCAGGCATCCGGTAGCCACTGCGTGGGAAAGCTGGGCGGTCTGTACCTCCCGCTCCTGCCGCCTTGGCCATGGTGATCCCTTACAGGAGCCGGGGCAGAGCAGGGTCCGGTCTCTGAGAACTTGGGAAGGGTTGCAAGTGGCAGTTTTACTCAAGGTATTTGGTGGAATGACAGGGAGGAGTAATTACTGGGTGTTTTAGTGCAGCAGAACTTCATGTGGGTTTCTCTGAGTTGACTTTGTTGAGTCAACAACTTGGAAATGGTCTAGGACAGCAGTCCCCAACCTTTTTGGCATCAGGGACTCATGCTTCTGTGAGAATCTAATGTCTGATGATCTGAGGTGGAGCTGAGGCGGTGATGCTCGTCCTGGGGAGTGGCTGCAGATGCAGATGAAGCTTCACTTGCTTGCCCACCGCTCACCTCCTGCCACGTGGCCCGATTCCTAACAGGCCACAGACTGGTACCTGTCCTTGGCTTGGGGGTCGGGGACCCCTGGTCTAAGAGGTTTCATTTGAAAGAGACTTAAATCCTTTGCCGTTCTGCTCATGAAAATTTCCAGGTCCTGATCTGTTTGTTATTAACAGATGAGATTGTGTCTAGAATGTGGTTTTTAAATTAGACATTTCCAAAGCAGCTTTGTTTTCACCTAAAAGTACCATAGTGATGGAATATGGTGAGACGCCCATTTCACTTTTTACTGTGCCTGTGCAGGCTGAAAGGTGGGTCTTGGGCTTCACGGAGTCGAGGAAGTGAAGTGGCTTTGCCTTTGGTTAAAGACCTGGCTCGCGGATGGGCGTCATTCCTGTAACATATCTACGGCCAAGTTGCATGCTGTTCTAGAAATAATCTTGTAGGCCACTTGAGTGTTATTTACCTCAAGGCTACTAAGTCATATCCTAGTGACTTCCAATAAATATCGTACCTTTCAGAAGTCAGCAGTGACCATATATATAAATCTTATGTATAGTTCTGATTATTTCCATAGGATAAGTTCTTAAAAATCAAAGTATTTGAACATTTCCAACTGACATGTGGGAGAGTCGGTGTAAAGAGATGGCGAGAGTACGTTAGGGGGTCGGAGAGCTTTGGGCTCCCCTTCTTAGGTTCTAGAACTCATCGGGGCGTGCCTTCCCTGACCTTTGAGAGGCCCGAGTCGTAGGGAAGGGTGCATCGTTTCAGCTGAGCAGCTCTTTGGCACCCCTAGGACAAAGGGGCACATCTCTGGGCCGAGGTTGGCATCACAAAAGGTTGTGTGCTTTTTTCAAACATTTTTTCTTCAGACCAAAGCTCAGATTTTATGTCTCAACTGCCTTGTGTGAAATGGGAACCTTCAGGAGCCCACGTGCTGCCGAGGCGTCCGTCGTGCGTCCGTGGCCCAGAAGCAGAGGTGGCTGCTGGGGCGGCAGCCAGAACTGGGTCCGGTCGAGTTTCCCGCCTGTCACGAGGCCGAAAGGGCAGAGGAGACGCCCCCTGACATTCCCAGCGCTCAAACTCTGAGTCTTTCGAGGCAAATGAAGGAGCTTGGAATTTTGCCCATTGAATGTCTCCAGTCTTTTATAAGTAGAGAGAGATAGGGTGAGGTGCAGACTTCCAGTGTTTTTACTGAGAATCTGCCAGGAGCCAGATTGGGTTGGATTGTAGACAGAAAAGTTCTTGTTGACTTGGGAGAAAAGATTCGGGCCCTGCGGGAAGTTTGATATCTTGAGGAAGGTTAGTATTGGACGAAGATTGATTAGATTGATTAGAGTAGGGACTTCGGCTAGCAGCTCCTGAAGTGTCTGTCTGGGTGGTCTCCTAGAGCGTTGATAACCGCAGTGAGAAAATCAGATTGGGCCAAAATGCAAGCTGTGGGCTGCAGTGCCAGGAGAGGGCAGAAGGGAGCCGAGGATGAGGCTCCGTGGAGGAGGGTGGTGGTTCTATGTGCTTGTGCGTTTGTGCCCATTTCACTTTTTACTGTGCCTGTGCAGGCTGAAAGGTGGGTCTTGGGCTTCACGGAGTCGAGGATATGCAGCGTGCATATGCACGCACACACAGCATACATGCAGGTGTATTTGCTTGCTTGCTTTTTTTCTCATGCAAAAATGAAGGAATTAAAATTTACTGTTGGCCATGGAAAATATGGAGAAAAAAGAGGAATTGGACAAGTTAAAATTTTCTGCTAAGGTTGAAACTTAGTTTAAAGCTCGTTTTTGAGGGGGGACTTTCAAATGTGCTGTTCTGCATACACACGAATACTTTTAGCCAAACTGTTTTTGGTGTTTTGGCTAAAATTATAGTTATTTTCAAGATTCTTAGAGTTCTTTAGTTTGGTCATCTGCCTGCATGATAAAGAAATTTAAGTAAATAAACCAGTTGATTTTGTGGGCCTGATGAAGAAACCTAAATACCTATAAAGGGAACGGTGACATATCTAAGTTGGAATCCTTAGATTTTGTTTTACTGTCCAGTGTCATTTCTCTTTCCACTTTGTTGACAGCTGGCAGAAGTTACAATACATCGAAAGGGCACCGTTTACAGGCGCTGGAGGGAGGGGAGAGTCCTCTTCTGCCCACCTTCCTGGCAGCCGTGACTCAGCAAACTGGTGCCAGCCTCCTCGCAGGAGCATGCAGTGAGACACATTATAGAAATGTGTCTTTGATTTGGGGAGGGTTGGATATCAGTTCTGTCAAATTACTTTTTCAAAGAATTGTTAACAGTCACTCAGGTTCGTTTATACTCAGTTAAGAAAAGAGAATCAAACATTGCAAAAGCCTGAAGACCTTCAGCCTTCTCTCTCAGAGACGGGGGTTGTTGCGCCCCTGTGCAGAGGTGGCACACGTCAGATAAGAAGGTACAAAAATGCCACAGCAAGGGATTACGAAGCACCACCCGGCCCCCCTGAATGGGCAGTGCCAGCACCGGTTCTGTCACTGCGGGTGGGCGGCAGCCACCGGGCCCTTCCAGCCTCACACCCACCCGTGTCAGGAGAGGATTACTCACCCAGCTCTGGTCTGGGCAGCTGGCCCACAGCACCAGGGCCGCCCATAGGCGCGTGTCGCCTGTTCACAAGGGTCTTGTTTGCTGAGTCCTCCCATGGCCTGCGTGAGGCGTCGTGCCTGGGCTTAGTCCTGCTGGCGGAATCAGAGGCTTCCCTGGAGACCGATGCGCCAGCTCTGCCCCTGCCTCGGCTCTGTCCTCCTTCTGCACGTGTCCGGTTCGGGGCCTGAGACGGGCCGGTCTGCGTGAGGAGACACGCTTGCACCTGGTCACGACCCCATGGGAGTCGCCCGCTGGGTAGACTCCAGCCCTGACTTAGGGTTTTACAGGGAGTCGGGGTTTAAGCTGAGGAAAGTCGCCGGGTAAGGAGAGCGGACACAGAGAGCCGGGGTTGCACCCACGGACTCCTCTCAGGCCACCTGAGGCTCTGCTCCAGTGAGAGGGAAAGGACGAACCCAAGGCCGTGTCTTAGGATATGACATCCTGAACGGAAAAAGCAGCGGCTCGCACTGGCCTTGAGCCCTTCTGCACCGGACACGGCAGAGGTGTCTGGCGGCCGGTCGACAACCGCTCAGGGCAGCTCTTACTCGAGGCTGGCCACCTCACGTACCAGGGCTATCTGTGTCTCCCTGATACGGTGGTTGAGAAAGTAACAGTAATACAATCTTTTTTTCTTCTTTCAGAAACGAGGGGGAACAGTCTTAAGTTGAATCAGTATTTTAGGAGAGGATACGGCAGGAAGAGCAGCTCACATGGCTCCTGGGGTATAAATCCAGGGTGTAGCCTCAGACCTGCAGAGGCCCAGGCCAGGGAGGGAAGATGGGAGTCCCCGGGTCATGACGCTGGCCACGTGTGGCAGGCGCTTGGAGTGGGGAAGGCCTGAGCCTTGCCTGAAGCCAGGTTATCACAGCTGCTGGTTACAGCCCGAAGTCAGTCTTGGTGACTGTTGGAGTTAACTTAAAATGATGGGAAAGGCAGGCTGACCTTGGTAGATCCAGCTCCTGAGCCATTGATTGGGGTGTCTAGACGCCATTGCCAAGGTTTATGGGAGGCCAGTCAGTAGTCTCGACTGGTTCCATGCTCGATGCTGAGCACCAGCCACCTGGTGGAGACCAGGCGTCCACCAGAAGGTTCTCCTGGGGGCACGGGGAGTCTGCAGGAGGTGGGTGGGTGGAATGTCCAGAAACAGACTTCAGCTCTGTGAGCTCGGCTTGTGCCCACTAACAGTTGCCATTCTGGGGGGCTGTTCAGGTGGGCTGTGAGGGCCTGGAGGAGCTGCCAAGTGACGGGTCCCTTCCTGGGACTTGGGCGAGGCCCCTGTGGGCACCGGCTGCCACAGCGGGCGTGGAAAGAGCACATGTGAGTTGAGACTGAGGGTTTTATTCCTAGAGAGGAGAAAACCTGCTGAATTACATGCTCAGACTTGAATTCCCGACTGAAACTTTACTTTCAGTGTTACAGATTCAGGAGTTCTGATTCTCTCATTTCTCTTAAGGTTTCAGAAGATAGCAAGTGTTAAAGCAAGTGTTTTGTTTCTATAAAGTCATCAGCTGTATTGTACTCACATGGCCTCGGTGCAGGCATTATTAGTTACGAAAGGCGTGAGGGCCCACAGGGAAGGACGTAAAGACAAGTTAGAAGTGTGAAAGGCCTACGCTCTGGGCCTCTCGGTGGAGGGAAATGACCCCATACAGAAGCGGCCACAAGAACGTCCCATGGTTTAGACACCCAGTAGCCGCTGTGGTGGGCCAGGCTGTCCCCACAGGCAGGCTGACTGCAGCTGGCGCGCCTCCGTGTGGGTCAGTGCAGGAGCTTTCTGTACACAGCCTTAGCCTCCCTGTTTCAGTTAATCACTTTTGTATTTGTTCCCCTCACCTCAGGTCTCCTTAGGAAATAAAGAAAGAAGCAAAGGTGTGTTCTACAAAGCACTTCAGAATTGTCCTTGGGCAAAGGTAAGTTCTGAAGACCGTGGTGTCTTCAGATTTCCCAGGACCTTCCTGCTGTAAGCATCAGTCCAGCCAGTGTCTGCCCAGCCCTTACCTGTATCACCAGACAGGGCATGTCCCAGACTTCTCTTACTGAATCTGTCCCCTCTGGAGCCTGAGCCTGTGGGCACGTTCCTTTCCCTGCACTGGAGCCGGTGTTTCCTAAGTGTTGCTGCGAGCAGCTGGCTTCCCAGCATTTGCCCTGAGTTCAGCCCAGATGCTGAAAGCGGCGGCATCTATGTCCCAAGTCTGCCTCGCAGTGCCCAGGTCAGAGGTTCAGAAATCAGTCATAGTGACTGCAAAGTCTGCCAGCAGCTCTGGTCCCCCTTCGGAAAGAGAAGACCTCACTTTGAGTTTGCTTTCACTCTACTTTGGGTTCAGTGTCCTTCCTGAGGTGTGCCCAGGTGCTGCTGAGTTAGGACAGGGAAGGGGAGGGATGATGTAGAGGGGGCACAGGAGGGCTGGCTCGCTAGGACAAGAAGTGGCTGACCAGGGTGGTGGCTCTCCTCCCCAGGTGTTGTACATGGACGCCGTAGAGTACTTCCCTGGCGAGATGCAGGAGATCCTGGACCTGATGACTGAGAAGGAGCTCCGAGTGCGCCTGCCAGTGGAGGAGCTGGAGCTTCTGCTCGAGGACTAGACACCAGGAGGGGATGGGGCCACCCCTCTAGGGCCACGTTGCCTGCTGTGGGAGCCAGGACGAGCAGGAGGAGACGGGTGACACATGCGTGCGAGTGTTAGACTCCTTTTTAAGTTTCTAGATAATTTGTGTCTGGGTTATCAGTCTCTTACCCTTGCACATTTTTTTGTTGTGCAAATGACACAAAAGCTATCGTTTTACATATCATATATGTGAATCTGTGTATGTATGTGCGGAGATGAGCATCAGGCCAGGTGATAACTAAGCCTTTGTGGTTGGTGTGTGTGAGCTGTTCTGCTCTTTCTGGCCAGCGCCGGCCCCGTGGAGATATACCTGCTCAGCGGGCACCCTTAGTGGTCCTGCCAAGTCTAGCATTGCTGAAGAATTTCTTTGGCACCTCATCTGGAAAAGCTAGTGTTGTAGAATAGAATTTTGGCTAGAAACAGATGGACACTGGTTGGAACAAGGAGGGAAGGCAACATAGCTAGAGCACTTTCTAGGGTGGCGTCGTGGAGCACCCGAGGGAGTCGGCCAGGCAAGGGGACGCCTGCTGCCCCACTTGCTGGCTTCAGGACTAATGTGTTCAGAAAGGAAGGAAGGGCAGAAGCTCTGACACATTTTTGGACGCTCTTGAGGAGGATGCGGCATCCCTGACCTGGGTTTTTTAGGACCAGTTCTCCCCTCCTGCCCCACGAGTGAGAGAACCCGCAGGCATTCTGGGAGGGAAGGATGTATTTTCTTGTGACGCCAGAGCCATGTGAACTTGGCTCTGTTGCTTGAACAGCAAAGCTCGCTGGCTGTGTGGTTGCGATCCTGTCTTCCCCATGAGCAGCTGCTGAACAGTTCTATCACCAGCACTGGGGGCGTGATGTGGGGCAACAGGGAGTGACGTCTGCACTCCTGTGATGGCCCAGAAGCTTCCCTGACACCTGGATCTACCAATTATTGCTGCCCAGCGGCGGGTGTCAAGGTTCCAGAAACAGGATGAACTGCTTGAGAAAGAGCGCGCTTTATTGGGAAGAGAGCACTGCATGACGGTCCCTCTACACATCATGCTCAGAAAGGGGCACAGGACACAGGACGTTCTGCTAATGAAGACCAACAGGAAACGGGTTCCTCTGGGCAGCTTCCTCGGCCCCACCAGCTGTGGTTCGCTAGAGATAGAGCCCTTCAGGGGTGCCTTCCTGTTTCTTATAAAGAACATTTTCTTTAGATTTTTTGAAGTCTTCATTTGTTACTTTCATTCTACGTTCTCTCAAGGCCATCAGACCAGCTTCTGTACAGATTGCCTGTAAGAGAACAGTATGTTCAGACAGTGAAATACTCGTTTACATGCTAACAATTCAGAGCTATTTTGAAGTAAGGTGTAAGACAGTAAACACGAATTGTTCAAATCTATTTGGGAAAAGATTCAATTTTAAAAATTGTTTTAAGCCTTTTAATTATTTTCTCAGAGAATCTGAGGTAGCTTAGACTGGAGTAACTGAGGAGGAGGATGGGCCAGGAATTGAGGCTTTGGGTTCTGGTTATCGGCTCAGGTGCTAACCAGCCATGTGGCTTGGCCGATCAGTGCGTTCTCACAGTCTACTTGCAGGGAAGTAGTATTTTTAGGAAACAGATGCAATTATACTGAGAAACTGAGGCAACAGAGTATATATCCGTTTCATTGCTCTAGAGTCATAAGAGAACACATTCTGGTTAAATAGTGTAAGTTTCAACATAGTATTTATTCTAATATATTTCCTCAATATATTACTTGCCAAAGTAAAAGAAGAATATAGGCAACATGTGACAACACAATCCTGCATTGAAGTTTCTATTGGGTTCACCAGGGCA